CCACTTGTGGAATACTGTGAAGCAGTTACCATGGAAATTCCACTGTGCTGTACAGTAGAAGCCATTTTATGGCAGTTCAGTAGAATCCATTTTAAGGCACAACAGGCTATATATTAACAGAACACACACCCCAAGAGGTTTTAGGGGTGTCTTTCCCCCACAGTATTTGTTTCCAGAGAGTAAGTCATCTGTGTACCAAGTTTGGTAAAAAATTGGTTAAGGCGTTCCAAAGTTATGCTGGAACACACACAAACAGACACACACACACACACACACACACACACACACACAAAGCAGTTTTTGTATATATTGGTATCTTTCCTAGCTGTTCTTCATTTATCCTTGAACTTGAATTTTTGAAGCATGTACTAGACTATAGCAGGATGGCAGATATGAATCCAGGTTTTGCATGAGAAAGGTCAAGGAAATACCCAATCTAGGATTATACATTCAAGAATATATATCATTGTAAATTTTAGTATACATTGGTAATTGTACATAGCTTCCTCTAACATGGACAGTCAGCTAAAGCAGATATTCCTCGATGTACGACCACAATTGAGTCATAAATTTTTATTGTTAAGTAAGACATTTGTTGAGTGAGTTTTGCCCCATTTTACATTTATTGCCACAGTTATTAAGTGAATCACTGCAGTGGTTACTAACCTGGTTGTTAAGTGAAGCTGGCTTCCCTATTGACTTTACTTGTCAGAAGGTCACAAAAGTGATCACATGACCCTGGGACACTGCAATGGCCATAAACATGATCCAGTTGCCAAGCATCCGAATTACATCATCATGGGGATGCTGCAAAGGTTATAACTGTGGGGAAAAAAATCCCTTTTTTTCAATGCTGTTGTAACTTTGAACTGCCACTAAATGAACTGTTGTAAGTGTACCTATACAAATAACAGAGAAAAGCTAACATGGCTTCAACATATCCCATTTGGCAGTCCCTCTTTCATCATCCTATCTATATTCTACTACAAAGCATTGACGATGAAAACAATTGCTCCAATAACAGATATGGCATTAAATGTCCCATTTAACCTATCACTTGTAAGTATAATGGTGCCTGCAAAGGTACACAGATGAGTCAGACTATTTATCAGCTACAATTTTCTTTATAATGGTTTTAGAAAATAATTGCAGTATCAATGCTAAATATACCCTTGATATTCAATCTTTTGAAGTAATTAGCTGAATATCATTATTGTCTGTTAATTAAAAATTGGGTTTTCTCCATTTTTTAATGAAAAGAACTTTTTTATTCCAGAGCTGACATTGTCCCCAAATGTGCTCATCACATTCAAGAGAGAGAGAGAACTTATAAAAGTCTTTCTTAACATGGCATCATTGGTTTCCACTCTGAAGCAGGAAAAGTGTTTTCTTACTTTTTCTGTTATAACTGAAGAATGTTCTAACATGTATGCCCACTAAAATATCTGAAAATATTTCCCAATTCCTGCTACCAAAATGAATAAGAAATCTTCTTTCAAAGTTCTTAGAATCCAACACATGTTCTTCTGGGTGTATATAGAAGCACCAATGCTTTCCTTTTCAAGATTCAACCAATCTACAATCTTTTTCTTTAGCCGCAAGATGGGTACCGTATTGTTCAACACTTGCAGTATATTGGCTGGCCAGCATATAGAGACACTCCTCCTTCTAAGCGCTCTCTCCTGAAAGTGGTCAGGCGGTTGGAAAAGTGGCAGGAGCAATATGATGGGCGAGATGGACGGACTGTGGTTCATTGCCTGTAAGCATTTCTGCATCCTTGTTTCCTGTATTAAGTCTGGATTGCCTGTCTGAAAAGAAGATTGCAAACTTGGTTATTTTGATGGATTACCCCAGTGATGGCTAACCTTTTTGTCATCGCGTGCCGAAAGTGTTGCACCCATAATGCAATGCGCATGGGACCCCCCCTCCATGTGTTCATCATCCTTCCCCCGGTGCATGTGCAAGTGACTCCCACACTTTCCCCTTGCGCATGTGCACGTGACCCCAAGTGCCTTATTTTGGGCCTAGTAGGCCTCCCTGCAGCCTCCTGATAGCAAAAAAGGGCCACCATGGGCTTATGTGGTTTCAGCTAAGCTTAGGCGATGGCTCATGTGTCCTCAGAGAGAGCTCTTCATGCTCCCTGTGGCACGCGTGCCATAGGTTCGCCATCACAGGATTACCCTAATGGGGATTACCCTATTATGTTTGATACACATAATTAAAGAAAACCTGAAGCTCCAAATGTCTGCTTAATACAGCATTATAGTATTATAGAGCTAAAAATCAATATGTTGTTTGTTTGGTTTGTTATCATTAAGCCTGGCTCTGAATGACTCTGGTTCAGTGATCATTCTAAGCTGTTCACCTTCTCCATTCATAAGTCCTAGAATATTTATGTTGTGATGTCAGATGGACGAGTCTAATGTTGAATGCTGGCTAAATCAGAATGTAGAGTATGAATACTGATTGGAATGTTTAGCCAGCAAAAGAAAGTGAAAGTTCCAGTTATCCAAGGATGTCAAATATTGATGATAACCTGTTGGTATTAATTATATGGTCCAGAGATATCACACATTAATACTTGGTATGCGATATGATATGATAGAACTTATATTGTGTGTCCCAACAAGAAAAATTAGAATGCTACTATATCTGCTACTATTTTTCTGTTCTGAATTTAATGTCATTGAGCTATTTTTATGAAAAACATTCATGCAAGTGAATTGTATATATGAATGTTACATGTAATTCGTTGTCTTGCATTTGTGTAGATCTCTTAGATCTCCTTGAAGTACCTTTCTGCTATGAACAAATGTAATTTACTAAACCTGCTCTTATCCTTTCTGCTAGGAATGGCGGTGGCCGCAGTGGCACCTTCTGTGCTATATGTAGTGTGTGTGAAATGATCCAGCAGCAAAATATCATTGATGTATTTCACATAGTGAAAACCTTACGGAACAACAAGTCTAACATGGTGGAGACATTGGTAAGCATAATAGGTTGATTGCTTCTTTTTCCTTGAAATAAAATATTCACAGTCTCTTTTTGTTTAGAAGCATCCATTTTGGATTTGAAGTATTATTCAGATAATAGCAGAAGCTGCATTACGTACTTAGAAAACTCCTGAGGAACACTTATTTTAAAGTACATTTCAATTGCTTCGGTTTTGAAAGGCGGGCAAACAGCATCTATGCAGAGCTAATAAAACCTATTATAATAAAATCCATTTAATTTAATCTTCAGAAATCCCCAAACAAGGTGGGATTTCGCACACTTTGATGATAATTCAGAAGATGCCCTTTTTAAAAACCTTGTACAAGCAGAACACTTCTCTGTTATTCTATAAAGCTTTTCAAGCTTCCAGGTGAGCCTGAATGAAAGGTGGGGCTGTTTTAAGAATTGCTTTGAAAGATCTCCAGTCTACTTACTCAAAGTCTTTGAAACTCTGTTTGGAATTATTTTTAAACTCTGTTTGCAAAATATAAACCTTAAATGTTCTACATGTGACCTTTGATATTATCTCTCCTATATAGAGAAAATGATGTGAGATGAGTTGAATCAAGTATGCATGCAGCAGACACACTGTCCCACAGACACATAGATGTTTGAGGATGGTGTTTATGTGTTTGCTTGTTGAGATTTTAAATAATATATTCTACATTATAAGATTATGTCCAGTGGTAATTTATGTGCTGTGTTTATTTACTTAATAACCCTAATACATGCTTACTTGTCTGTTTAAGGTTGAAAAAGAAACATGAAAAAGACCCTCAGCCAATTTTAACCATAGTGAAAGAATAAAGTAATGTAAATTATATAAAATATTAAAATAATATATTATAGGGAAATATATCCTCTTATTTGAGAGTGATATAAGCAAAAGTCTTTTTCCATATGCCAAAGTAACATTTTTCTAGCTAGATTTATAAAAAGTTACGGGACTTTACATAGAGAAACCAAAAGTAAGTTAGTTTAAAGTTTAAATATTTTCTTAGATCTAACTGAAAAAAATATTAATAGCAAATGTAGAACTTTTCATATTACTCTCATATAATCTAATATAACCACTTGTATTTTGGAACAATGGAAGCTTTCAGATATTTTGCCTGAAATGTGATGTAATTAAGACATGGATTACTTATGGAAAGGTGGCACAGTGGGTAGATATTATCATCATCTAATAATCCAAGGACAACATAAGGTCAGGGGAAATGTTTGCGTTCTTTCTTGGGGAATACAACAACTTCCAAACAAAGTTGAATCCAACTGTCAAGCCGGCATCTTCAGTTTAATCTCAGCTTCATCCATCCTTAGTCAAACAACTATACTTAGTCAGAGTATTTTGCCAATTTACTTTATATAAGATGACATAATGAGAGATCTGAGAGATGACAGAATGATAGCTTCAATATATTGGTGAAGTCTGGCTTAAAATAGTTCATTTGGAACAGGCCTATACTTTTTAAATCAACAGGGTCAAGTATAGGTGCCTTCACTACTTTACATAAAATTGAACAATTGCCTTTCTTCTGGATGGCTGTGTAGAGGATGTATTAATAGAAATGTTATGATAGTAATGAATAAAATGGACATATATTTTGGGCACCCTTTATCCTGGCTCTTGAAATAAAACATTTATTGCCTGTGGATTCCCCATCTCCAACTCTTGAATTACTTAATTGTAGTTGAGTTATATCCATTGATTTCAATGGGAATAAGATAATTAGAAAATAATGTAGAAAGTTTCTTACATGAACACATATACACATATTAAAACTTAATTATTGTTCATGTGAGGGGATCCTGTAAACGATCTCAAGCCTCAGCTCAGTCAAATTGGGATATCAATGTAAGATACCAGATCATATGTTGATAATACTAAAAATCTGCACTAGAGTTTGATTATTTTGTAAGCACAATTTAAGATACTAAATTGGGTTAATCTTTAAAACTAAATAGCTTACAGCTTGAACTGTGTGGTTCCCAATTGTTCACTGGCACTGTGGAACAGTGGAACAATGACATTCCCTGAAAAAAATACTGACACAGTAAAATACTTCACAGTGCTATGAACTGAGGAAGTTTGGGAATCCCTGACTTAGAATTCTCTCTGTAGATATTAAGTTGTCCAGACATGCAGTAGGAGCTACAGGAGAAGCACTTTTGAAGTGTTCTACTTTTACAGAAAGTGATTCATTAAATACATTAATCTTCTAGATCAGTCTCAATTTATTTAAACTTCTTCCTGGGGAATTATATTTAGCTTTCTAACTTTTTGCCCTTAGAAGAGCAGTTTCTATGGGAGGGCAATATGTATTTGTCTTTTTTTAAAAAAATATCTTGTTTGCATTTGATTTTTTAAAACAATGCATTTATTTGATGTGAATGTCAAATACATTTCAAGCTGATTGTGCTGTAATCTAAATTGCTACTTGTAATATTGCCCATATTCTTCTATCTTATCAATTTGATGATGGAACAATAATATTCTAAGGGTCACATGGAGCACTGAATGAAAATTTGAAACCTTGCATCTGTGTATGGGATTTTGGGAGATTTGGGGAGTCCAAATGTGATACTAAAGTAGAGTCAATTGAAAGAATGAGTCACCTGAATATTATCTTGATTTATCACTGTGTTCTCTTTCTATCTCTTTCAGGAACAATATAAATTTGTATATGAGGTTGCATTGGAATACTTAAGTTCATTTTAGCTCATCAGGGCAGGGAGCTAAAGGATGCCTAAAGCTTTGGTGTTTGAAGGACATTGGTTCACCACTTTACTTCAAAGGAGTAATGGGCTAAAGCATATATAGCTCTTCATCCTTGAATGAGAAACCAGGTCAGAGCTGACTGCCGGAGGAGGAATCTGCTGCCATCTGTTTTTAGAACATTCTTGCCTTTTAAGCAACTCACTATGGCAAAGCAAGAGGCAGGGTGGAATATTCTGCTTTCTAATCCCTTCTGACTGCTTCTCCCTATCATTTTGGATGTGTCTTTTTTTCCTCCCTTGATGCAAACAGGAATGTGTGTGTGTGTGTTTGTGTGTGTGTGTGTGTGTGTGTGTGTGTGTGTACAAAATATCAGCTCCACTTTCTGTGTTTCAACAAATCCTCACTTTTTTATTTCCTATATAAGTCAGTTTGCTTTAAAGGGAAGCTTCATTAAACACATGTTTGGCTTTCAGCAGAGCCAGCCTTTGTGTTAAGTTTTTCAGATGAAAAAGCCACCACCATAAATGTGTGATTTTTCTGTCAGCTCTTATTGTCTTAAAAGCAGGCTATGGAATGAAGAAGCTGCCAGTTAATTTTCTGCCTTGATTAATACACAATGCTACTAGATTTTGAATGTTCTGCATGGATTGGTTAAATCTTAATGGTTCCTATCAGCTGCAGTGCTGGTGAAGCAACTCTGTAAAATTGCATCTCCCAGCAAAGTACATTGAGGTCACCCTGAAATTATCTTCATGTTTCAAATTATCATTCCTTTGCTTGGTAATGAAGTTAATTTTGTTTTATCATAAGTATTTGGTTGTGTGCTGTGTATATTTACAAAAGGGGGAAATTGAATGATGGGCTTAAAATATGTACCTTGGGGATTATTCTACCACCTACACCACAAGTGTCAAACTCGCGGTGTCACATTGTCATGTGATGTTTCGCAAGGTTTTTCCCTTTACAGAGTTGGGGTGGGCGTGACCTGCATGTGACACATCTGGCCAGTTTGAAACCCCTGACCTATACAGTCAAAATCTGCTATATGGAATAGTACAGTTGATGGATTTGTTACATACCCCATTAACTGATGTGGTAGAAAGCAGTGTTCTAAAATATCCTGATCACATAGGTGATTGCAACACACTTTCTGATAAAGGGCATTTATATGTAAGATGTTAACATATATGAGTTTACAAGTTAGGCTTGCCAATCATATTACCCAAACAAGGGACATAATGACAGGCCTTCAAATTTCATTGTCAGATGAAAGAAGAGATATGAATAATTTTCATTAATCCATGTGTTAGCCATGTGTGTGTCTTTTCTGTAAAAGGTACTGTTATTTATGGTACATGATAAACTCACTCTCTTGCCTCATAATAACTACTGCAGCAACAATCAATTTAAAAAAAAATAATTTTGTAAAAGACACTAGCCAACAATTTTATGCCCTCATTTTCAAAATCACAAGTTTTTGTCTCTAACTGGGAAGATTTTGAGAAAGGGGATTAAAGTTTTGGGAAAGGGAATCAAAGTTTTCTATTAAATCTTAAGAAATATTTTTTTGGAAATGAAGACAAAACCACTGGTATTCTTTGCCTCAAGTCAACAACTGTACGTTGAAATGGTAGAACTATGTAGAAGTTGAATAATATAAAGTCACCAGATTTTGTTTTATTATGAAACTGTCACTTGTTGAAATGATGTAGCAGTTATACTTTGGTATTTTAAAACATTTAGCTATCCTTAATTTAACGATTTTGCTTAAAAGAAAAAAGAGCCTCAAGCATAGAATTAATGCAACCATACACTTCTCTCAGATAAGAAGTCTGCAAAGAAAGTGAAGGTTTAAACTTGACATGTGACAAGTAAAATTAGCTCATAATACTATTTTTAACTGTTACATCTCTCAGAAAGTTTCTTAAATATATGTTCATGCCATCCCCAATTTGGGGAACCAACTACATATTATATTGTATACATAATATATATTGATTCTTGTGCCTTTAGACTAATGCAAAAGAACAAACAGCTAAACTCTACCCCCAAAAAGGGAATTTAACACTTCAATCACCACCATATATTTCATTCCTTAGAAATACATATTTTTAGAGCACTTATCTGCAGAAATAGAAATATATTTCTCACTGACATCTGTATTACACTTATTCATTAAACTGATGCTGTTACAAGGCTACTCACACATTTTTTAATGTCATATGGGTGCACATAGCTGATCTTGTGTGATTCTGAAAGATTAGACAAGGTCAAATCTGGCTAGTATCTATGTGAGTCTATAAAGTAGTTTTAGGGCTATAATCTAGAATTTAGGGCTATAATCTAGAAAAAAGTATCCTGCAAGCACACATTGACAAACCACTTTCACCAAAGTCGCCAAAGTTTGAGGCCAATTGAAAGCAATATTATTATTTTTTACATTAATAGGCAGACTATAATTGATTGGGGTAGGTAGCCTCTTAGTCTCATTCTTCATTTGAAAGTGGAGAAATGCATTTGATTATATGTACCTGGAAGTAGGGAAATAAGAGAAAGATCCATTTCAAATGGGGCAGATTAAGCATCTCAGATAAAGAAGGCAGAACAATCAGAGGGCTACCTCTTGGTGCAACAAGGCAAAATAAGGCAAAAGCAAATAGAAGTTAAAATTTGACATAAAAACAGTGGAGGGGGAGGATTCAACCATGAAAGAAAAAGCTTGGAAATGACCCACTAAATCTTTGTTGAAAAACAGCTAATAATTATGGGATAGAAGAGTGTTTGATCAGTTATAGTTAGTTAGTTAGTGGCATTGCAAAGAGATTAGAAAACATTCTGTTGGGATGCCTACATGGATATTTTTCTACCACTATGTACTTTTTAAAAAATGAAAATAACGATAATAGGAAAATTGTAGGTGAAGTAATGAAGGAGGAAATAGAGGTGTAGAGCAAAGAGGGAAAGAAAAAAAGCATTGACTTTCAACCAGTGGTGGGTTTCAAATCCCATTCCAACTGGTACAGTTGGAATGGGGCTGGCGGCGATCTCATAGATGCACGCAGCATGCACATGCATCTCAGCGCCTCTGCAACGCTCCAACTGCTCCACGGAGCATCGCATAGGCACTGTACATGCCATGCACCTGTGCGGAAGTGCAGAAGCTTTAAACACTGGTAAGGAGCTCAGGCAGGCGGGTGGGCCCTCCGGTCACCGTACCGGAACAGTATCCGTTGCCCCAGGCTGGCTCCGGTACGCCCGTACCTGGGCGTACCGCCTACAACCCACCACTGCTTTCAACTTTGTTTAGCACAATAAAGTACAAAATAGAATTACAACTTTTTACTTTATGAACTTAGCAAGTACTAACCATTTTTATAATAACAAACTAGGTCAATTAGCAAAACGAAGTCAAAAGGTTTTTTTTTTCCTGTCTCAAGAACAAAGTCCAGAAGCAAACAAAATGGAATATATTATTTTCTCTAATTAAAACACTCACTTTTGTCATCTCTGATAGCTTCATCACTTTTTGGGGTCTCTGTATGTTTTTATAGGATTCTAGGGTACACAAGGATGCACATAAATTGTGTTTAATCCTCATTCTGCTCTGCATTATCTATTGAAAAACATTGCCTCAAAGCTATTCTTGTTCCCAATATATGCATATGTGTATGTATAAGTGTTTGTGTGCATATATTATACATATAAACATAAACACATATATAACAAAAATTGACATCTGGAAATGGGATTTGAAATATTTTCCATGTGTTTTGGGTTTCTTGTGGCTACTATGTGTAAACATTTAAAGTTCCCATTTTGACCCTAAATCTTGTTATGTTAAGAAAAAAATTCAAATATCTAACAAAAGTGTTGTATTTTATTTGACTTATTTTCTTTGGGGCAGTAAGAAGGTTGCCTTTCCTTTAAGATATTTCTGCTGATGTGATTCTCTCTTCTAGTTTCATTAATAACTGGCAATCAGATATTACATGCATTGATTTTTTACATTTGAAAGTCATTGTTAATTTCCACTTTGAAAAATAAAAGGGCAAAGCAGCAGTAGCTACAAAACATTATAATTTAATTGGCACCTTTAATTAATAATCTTTTTTGCTCCCTAGACATATTTTTTGCAAGTTCACCAGCAGGATAGAATTATTAAAACACGATAAAAGAATTTCTGCTCTAAATGTGCAAATAAATAAGCAACAAGTAGCTATAAAAGTGGTGGTATCTGAAGTGAAATGCTTCAGTGACAAAGGGTACTTAACTTCAAGCAAGGCTGTTACTTGTGTGTGGCAGTATTTTCAATTCAGATAATCTTGATAACCATTGGGGTGTTTCTTGGAACTTTGACACCTTCATTGCTACTTTAACAGAATAATAGAATAATAGAGTTGGAAAAGACATTGGAGGTCTTCTAGTCCAACCCCCTTCTCAAGCAGGAAATCCTACACCATTTCAGTCAAATGATTGTCCAATCAATTCTGAAAAATCTCTAGTGCACCTACAACTTCTGGAGGCAAGCTGTTCTACTGATTAATTCTTCCCCAATTGTCAGGAAATTTCTCTTTAGTTCTAGGTTGGTTCTTTCCTTGATTGTTTTTCATCCATTGTTTCTTATCCTGCCTTCAGGAGCTTTGGAGAACAAGTTGACTCTCCCCTCAGCCCCTCAAATATTGGACCACTGTTGTCATGTCACCCCTGGTCTATTAAACTAGACATCCCCAATTCCTGCAACCATTCTTCACATATTTTAGAATACAGTCCCTTAATAAACTTTGTTGCTCTTCTAATTTTCAGTTAATAGAAACTGTGCATTGTGCAATTCAAATATCAGGCTTCCCTGTTTCAGGGCAGCAGAGATGCTCTTGGACTTGTGCAGAGGTGCCTTCTACCCATGCATCTTTGTAGCAGAGTGCCAATATGACAAATGTCAATTTGGCGACGTGTCATAATCTAGGTTAAACCTTGCTCAAATATAGTGAAACTATTCTTATGAGAGGTTAAAGCTTGTTGAACAGCAAAGATGCTGTACCATGACAATGTTGTAATTAGGGGTCAGGGAAGTGTTTGAAAAAATCTCCAGAGGTGACAATTATATTTAAATAAATTTAAAGATACTAGAAGAAAGGCTGTGCAAGGAAAGTAATGGAAGAAGGTGAAAATGGAACTCTGTTGTGAATGAGTTACCTTTTCCTGTTTAACTTCATCTTCTTACCCATGGCCTCTATGTGTGCAAGGCATGCATGTAAAGGGTAAAAGGATCTCTATTAGCTTATTCGGGGGGGGGTGAGTTACAAGTGGGAATCTGGTATACTTAATCAATGCACCTGCCACAAAACAACTTTATGGATAAAGATGTATGTAGATTATGTATAGGCTGTAAAAGAAAAAGTCGGAAAATTGAAAGGAAGAGACAGAGAGAGAGAAATGATTTAACATGTTGGAAACATACAGGTTTTGAACTCCTTTATTTCCAGTTCTATACATGAGAGTGAAAAGAAGGATGATGTGTGAGAGTAAAGTACATTATCATTACAGTTACATTTTGTCATAGATTTTGTTATATTGCTCCAGGAAAGTTTTTTGCATTGTTATTTTATAACTGTTCTAGTCCACATCTTATCCAACTCAAGGTGGCTGAAGCCTATTTGAAAGAACTAACAAACTTCCAAAAACATAGCCCAATTAATGTATCATCATAAAAGAAAAAGCTATAATACAGTTTAATTCAGAGCCTATTAAAACAGAACAGTAATCAGTGATTGATACAAAATCCAACAAAATAGCACCAAAGGCTCCACTCAGCAGGAATGGAGAACAGGAAGTGATGAATTCGCCACAATTGTAAAAATTATATACAAGCAGTAGAATGGCAGAATGTACCTGTTTCATTTATTTGTCAGTTAAGCTATTTTTGTGGGTTTATATCCTATACTAATGTCCTTTTCACACAAAGAACATGAGCAAAATTTTCAGAAGGGAAGTGCTTGTTGTTCAGGAGCAATATTCACATAACAAGGTTATGAGAAAAGCTGTATAATGCAATTCCATGCATGTTTCTTTACAAATAAGCTCCACTTGTAATTAGATGTGGAGATGGCAGATCTCTGTTAAAAATTAATTTATTTTAGTGAGGGCAACAAGAAAAAAATAGATTTACATTTACATCACCATCCATCACTCAGTTTTACATATATGTCCTTATCATCTTTTTCTGTTAATATATACATAACATTTGAACTAAAAGAAAAAATGATTAAAGTTACACTGTAATATACAGTAAATCTTCAGAAAGCAGATCCTTGATAGGAAAACTATACTTCCAAAAGCCTTTTTGTAAAAGCTAAATTGGAAAAAAGGAACTTGTTTTGATGTGGATATTAGGGCAGAATTGTGTTGTAATTTGCTAATGTAATACCAACAAGCTGTCTATGATGTGAAATTAGATGTGAACGACAAATTATGTTGACCATTAACTGTGCACTAAAAAGCCAAAGTGCTTTGTTGATGCATCTTTTGAAATTTGGACATCAGTAGTGGTGTTGAATAATTATTAATGGGCATTGTAGTTTAGTATTTTGCAAACTCAGTAGCTGGGAATCTTAATTCAACCTCCAACCTTTATTTGCAGAAAACAACATTTTTAAATTTGTTGCCTTTCACAAAAGGCCATCTCCAAAAAACTGATTTTCTCAGACTTTGTGCTCAATTTAGTGTGCAGAAAGCACAACCTATGCATTATGGCACATGTACATAAGCTCAATCAGCCTTTTAAGACAGGGGCCTGTTGTTCCATTCTTATGGGTATATTAAGGATTGAATATAGTGGTGTAACCATTAATATAACTGTAGACAAGATGAAAAATGGGTTTCTTAGAATGGCTTCTAGTAATGCAGTATTGATTTGCAACAACTAAGTTCCACTTTGTTGATGGTGATGATGCAAGCCAAATTTTTTTTTAAAAAAAATTCAATTGTGGGAGAGAGGTCATTTGGAACTAGCAATGGTATGATTACAGAAAGGCTATTTCATTGTAATGTCACTACAAAATTTGCTTTAAGAAATAGAGAAAAGGAAAGTATCCTGGTTTCCATATCATCATGATAATTAAGATCTCATGATGTAGATAATATCTTCATGCTCCTAGGTACATAGAAAATAGACATAAATTTTCTGTTCTTAGATTCAAGATAAAGAAGATTTACTGTCAGATGTGACTGGAATGTTCAAGGGAAAATAGCTTCTATAATTTACTTGTACAATTTCTGCAGCTCCCATTAAACCATGTTTATCCTACTTTCTCTGTTCAAGGCTCTAAATCTCATTCAACAATGCCTTTCAATAAAGTGATAATTCTGCATTGTTGCACAATATCTTAAGCTGGAGAAGTCTTTTATTTCTTCAGACTCTTCTCCACAACTAAACTTCACCAGATGAAATTAAATATTATGTATTGTATAGTGGGACATCTTTTAAGCTACACTAGTACTCTATTCTTTCTTTCATTGTTCATAGATTTTTAACAGATCTGAAGCATATTAGCTTTTCTGAAATCATATTTCTTGTAGTATTGGAATTTAACATAACGGAAACAAAGAAGCCCCCAAATTCTAATCATTTAAAAATGACAACACTGGAACATATTAAGTATCTATTTTTTCATTCACTTTTACAGTATGTCAGTAATATAACACAAAATATAACAGTTTACATTGACACGGAGCATTTCACACATGCATACACACAGATACACACAAGAAATATAGACCCAGATTTTGAACAAAGTTAGTAGGTACATCTCTTTATTGAATAACTGGCAACTTTTTTGAGGGAGGGCAATAACTAATGTCTAGAAAATATTAAAACAAAAACAACAAAACCAAGGTAATTTGTTTAAGAGAATAATATGGCAGCTAGACTCGATGTTAGTATAATAACAATAAATCTCTCTCAGATTTCTTTGCACTGCAAGCAACCAGACTGCCCTTTTCAAAAGAGATCATTTTTCTTCAACTTGTTCAAAAAAAGGTGTCAGTCTAATAAATTTCTTTTTGTGTCTCGGCCACCAGAACAACTATTGCTCTATAATAAAGAAATATCTGACAAAAAAAGGTCAGTATTTGTAGGTTTTCAGACAGCAAAGATGTTTGAAAACTTGTCCTTATCTCATTCCTTTTAAAATTTGCTTGCCTATCCAAGTATATGATACATTTTAGCTGTTACTCTGCTATTTATTCTAGTTTTATCTCAATAGCATTATAATTAAGCATTCACACTGGTACCAGAAGAAATGAAATACTATTGATGGGCAGTGTGATTTGAGGAAATGAATGAAATTATTGGAATTCGCTGCATGCAGTTTCTTTTGCTCAATTTGGTGACATGTAGATCTACATGAAACAATGTCATCTCTAAGGAAAAAAAGCTAGAATTTCATTGATATCTAGCAAGATTTTGCCAAATAAGTTGCTGTGAAGCAAAACTCATATGGCTGAATTGCTGAAATGTCAACCTTTGCAGAAATCCTTTTTTTTTTTGTTTGCTTGTTTTAACGAATCATCCTTTAATATATTCAGATCCAACTGGATTTTGACTTAGAATTTTTTTAACTGGGAAATCTCCCCACAAGATGATTCTCAGCCTTGTCATTACATAATCACCCTGTACATTTTGCCATGTCCTGAAAAAAATATTTTTCTTTTCTACAACTTTATTCTGTCAGTTGCATAAATGTGTATATGCAAGATCACTTAGCGATACTAAAGAGGGAGAAAAAAATAACTTTGATGACTTTTTCCAAAAATCATTTTTGTTACATTTCTCAAAAGAATATTTTTCCAGGACATTTGTTTTCCTTTTTTCTCTTCTTCTCTACTGAAATCATGTTATAGTAGTCAGCAGTTTGAGCTGGGAGCTTTTGTTATATTAGTTTATTGTATGTCTTAGAGTTCACGTACTATAATGACATGGCTAGCCACGGAATAAATCATTTTAGGTAGGGTGATGGCTGTATGCTGAGGGAAGGATGTACGAGCACATGATGGGCAAAGCACCTATGTGGGGACACAAATATAATGTAATCCCATAAAGGTATAGGGCTTGCAGACCTATAACTTTTTGATGGGTCTTTCGGGCTGTCTAAGTTTGATTGTTTTCTTGAAAATGTTTCATTATCCAGCCTAGATAACATCGTGCTAGTAAGTTAGTAAGTAATAACCAACCCAAACCCCTTCATTTCAACTCTGAGCTACAAATATTCTCCTTTATTGGCTAATTATTTTAGCCATTATTTTATTATTGGCTAATAATTGTATTCCTGTAAACTTGGGGATGAGGTAGCAGTAAATTTGTGTTAGTTCCTTTGATCCAACTCTATGATAGCAGTCAGGAATTGTTTAACCTGAGAGTTGAGTTTATTTTCATTCATAGGGTTAGGGTATTCCCTGAATGCTTAATGTTACTAAATTAAGCTCTCTTGTACATGTTGGCTGTTTGATAAAGGACGTATTTAAAATACATACAAACACACACACACAAATACACACACTATATGAAAATTTAGCACT